GCTTAGTAATTCATAAAATAATTGGTTGAGATGAAGTATGAGAGTGGCAGTTGTCCTGCAAGTGAAGTGAGGGGTTGGCACTCCCTTGTGACCCCTAGGGATATTTGTGTTCATTCTGGAAGGAGTATTAGTGCAATCTTCACATGATTCACTTCAGTATCATAATGAAGGAACATGTGTTTAATTTTTACATCTCTAAACTTCTACCTTATCCATTACCTTCTAGAACAAAGATTAACTAATGTGACTGCTATTTTTGTAGAGTCAAAAGTGTTGTTGTAGAGACTTGTTAACTCCAAAATTAGTATAAAACTAAGGATAAAGATGAAGACTGTTGACAAAACACAAACATTTTACTTACAAGGCTTGATAGTTTTCCAAAACATTAAAACCTTATAAATAAAATGTTTGTCAACTGTCTTCATCTTTATTGTTAGACTAGTTTTCCCCACCTTGAATCCATTGCAAGTATAAAACTAATGCAGGTTTATTTAAGCTACCTGAACATATCTTGGTTCAGTGCACAGTTCTGTTCAACAAGTTTCTAATTTAGTAACCATAGAATTCTTCGGTGCAATTTTAACATATACTTTATACGAACTGTCAAAACTCTCGAAAAAATGAAGGATTTTGATAAATATAAATAGTTATTTTATTATGTTTAATATATTTTCTTTGTATTTCTATAACTCTAATTTGTTTCTTCTTTGTTTCCTGTGACTTTTAGGTCCAAGTGTTTGAGGCTGTTAAGCTTGTACTTGCAATGGCTGTTTTTTTTTGTAGATTTTAGTGCAAAATGTTATTAGTTTTCATACTATAATATGTTCCATACCATGATGAGCTTAGGACTAGTTTTCAGCTGGGTTAGCTTTTATCAGCCCAGCTAGGTTAATAGAAAGGAATATTATGGAATAAAGAAGTATCATGTACAAAGTAGTTCTGAGTTTATGAACGGTGTTTTATTTTACCATGAAAAAGCATGCTGGTTTTTTAGCTACATTACAGTAATGTATATGGAAATCTTGTTTTAAGTCAGTGAATGTTAAAAAACTAATTTTTATTTTATTTTTACTTCTATAAGTAGGAGCACAAACAAGTTTACTCCTCAGTAATGTTTTTTTTTACTACTATGGATAAATTTAGCATGTTTTGAGTTGACTTAGAATTAAGAGCTGTATTGAAATGGTTTGATGTAAGAATTGTTTTCAGAAAATGACTCAAACCTTGATTATGTTTTTGTCAGGTGTAATAAGTGCATTAGAAAATTGTGAATACTAACAAAACTTCTACAGTTAGATTCTAAACAATGCACTACGACTGTCATGATTCTATCGTTCCTATCTTGTTTTTAAAATTAAAACTACTGCCAAAATGAGAATAATTAAACTAATAGCAAGAGTCTGTAATACCCAAGACATGCTTTGACTCAACTTGGTTTTCCTTGTATGTAAGTCTTAGGCTCTTAGTTACACACATTGGTGACTACCCTTACACGATCATGATATGATAAACAAACTGCATATAAGAAAAATATTATTATAGAGTTGACATTTATCAAGAACTTTTTGTGTGTGAAATTTAGGAGTTTTGAAAGGAACCTTCAGACATATCGAATGTTGACGAGGCTAAGGCCACCAAAATCTGCCTTTGACTCCTTGGGTCATGGAACTGTAAGTATCAGAATTTGTTCCTAATTATGAAAATTGAAAGATTTATCCTTCTGAAGGCGGGTTTCATTTTTGTTCAAGACATGTTATCTCTACATTAACACTAGCCCACATGAAATATCTCCATGATTCCAACGATAGTTAAAAAAACAGAAGCTCAAAGCAAGAATTATTCAATAACTGAGAAACTTGCGTCTCGTCTGTCGTTATCTTACTTATGGTCAATAACCTCAGTAGGAAATACATGGCAAGAGAATCTTTCAGGACATTATTCATTAACAAACAATTTACTATATTTATCTTAGTTATGGTCAATAACCTCAGTAGGAAATACATGGCAAGAGAATCTTTCAAGACATTATTCATTAACAAACAATTTACTATATTTGTCTTAGTTATGGTCAATAACCTCAGTAGGAAATACATAGCAAGAGAATCTTTCAAGACATTATTCATTAACAAACAATTTACTATATTTGTCTTAGTTATGGTCAATAACCTCAGTAGGAAATACATAGCAAGAGAATCTTTCAAGACATTATTCATTAACAAACAATTTACTATTTTTGTTCCCTTAAACTTGACCCATTTTCTATTTTTTTTTTCTCACTTTTTTTATTTTCACTCCACAGCTATGCGTTCATTCTCTTGACCTATTTCTCATTTTCCTCCTTTCTCTTTTTTAACGCTTAATTACGTATTTTTCGGAATATTAAATTTTGAGCTGTCTTGGTGCTCAATCAAAGTTCCTTCTATTAATTTTTTTTTAATTTGAACTAAACAGTGCTACAGCAGTGATGATCCTGAGGATGACGTTGTAACGTCAAAACATGTAGAGTCGTCAACTTTTTTGAAGGCCATAGATAGGCCTAAATAAAATGTTTTTAATTGTGTACCAGTTTAACGTTGAATATTATTTATGATTTTAACTTTATATTATAAACAAGTGCGAAAATACTATAATTATGTTTGTTGATGTTGGTCCTTATATTTTCATATAATGCCCATTTTCTAGGCTACTAAGCTGTGTCTTATTATAATAGATGAAAAATTCTGTCCAGCTGTATAATCTCCATGACGAAACATCAGGAGATACAGCATTGAATGAGATGTCTTTTTTAATAAAATGTTGTATTAAAAAAAACGTACTGGTTTCCAACCATTATTTTATTAGTCGTGCCCTCCTGTGGCAGCAAAATGCTGCATTATAGGTGTAGTATCAGATAATTTAACCTTGTCTCATAGAGACAAGAGAGGATGTTGGGTTTAATTCACATCTTTTGTGATAACTTTAATAATACATAATTTCCGTCACAACTTGAAAGTTATTTAAATACAGTTACAGATCTGGTTAACCCAAAAGTGATAATTAGTACATCCTTATACAGATGGTTAATCCTAAACCTTACTTGTAAACAATGTTTACATGAATCCAAATTATCTGTTTTTATACTACAATTAAACAAAGGGGAACAAGTTTCAAGTCTTCTCTGCAATAACAGTTACTACATCAGACAAAGATGGCATGCACCAATGATTGATTATCCAAACATTATACAAAACATTTTATCGAGGCAAACTAATCACAGTGATTAATAAAAGAAACAGGATTCAGGCAGACATAAAAAGTGCCCCATGTCTTACCTTTCCCTATAGCTGCTGGCTAAAATATGACATATGGGAAAAAGAAAAAAAGTTTCCTTAAAAAGCCATTTTTAAAATAAGTTACACACATACTAGTAACCCAATCTTTTAAACACAGATTGTAAAAGTAAGGTTTAGGATTAACCATCCATGTAAGGATGTACTAATTATCACTTTTGGATTAACCAGATCTGTAATAAAGTAAATGCTGCTATTCATCCTTGGCTTAGCTTTCCAGATTTGTAACCGTGTTCATAGTTCCAGATGTTTGGCTGTATTCGTAGTTTCAGTTCTTATTTTGGTGTCCTTTGCATTTCTATTAATGTATTGTTCTGTCTTGTGAATGGCATTTGAAGTTTGTTAATGGTTTGATTTATTGACAAAACATCAGTATTACTGTAGCATTTAAGTTTTAACACACAAACGAAATAAAAGTTGTTCATAAAAAACTCGTTTCAGGACTGAGCTTCTGTATTTATAAAACTGTTTTTTTGCACACGTAATGAATCTTAAGTTGGGATATAATAACCAGTACTAGCTGTTATTAATAATAAATAAAATTTTCCTTTCAGCTTAATATAAACTACTGATTAAGTGTTCTGATCATAGCTAAATGTAAGATTACTTCAGATAATCCTTGGAAAGGTATTATTAATACAACACAGAAGCTGTGAAAAATGTACCTTACATAATGTGACTTTAACAAACACTGAATAATTATAAGAAGAAAGGTTAGATAATTTATTGCTTTCAGTGTATCGTTACAGAGCTTTCTTCGAAGCAATTACTAATCCCAGTGTAAAACTGCATTGAATATGTGTTTGTATTTAGGATGGTTATATGTGGACAGTGGTGCATGTTGGGGCTCTGTGTTGAGTGAAACGGAATTTAGTACTTGTTTGTATCGAGGGTGGTTATACATGGACATTGGTGCATGTTGGGGCTCTATGTTATGTAAAATTGACATGAATTCATGTTTGTTTGTAGGGTGGCTATACACTTGCAGTGATGCACGTTGGAGCTCCGTGTTGTGGAATGAATGCAGCCGTCAGATCCTTTGTTAGAAACTGTCTCTACCGAGGAGATGTGGTGTATGGTATTCATGATGGAATAGAAGGACTAATTGAAGGAAATGTAAGTTCTTATAAATATTGTTAGACTAATTGAAGGAAATGTAAGTTCTTATAAATATTGTTAGACTAATTGAAGGAAATGTTAGTTGTGATAAATATTGTTAGACTAATTGAAGGAAATATAAGTTTATATAAATATTGTTAGACTAATTGAAGGAAATGTAAGTTTATATAAATATTGTTAGACTAATTGAAGGAAATGTTAGTTCTTATAAATATTGTTAGACTAATTGAAGGAAATGTTAGTTCTTATAAATATTGTTAGACTAATTGAAGGAAATGTTAGTTCTTATAAATATTGTTAGACTAATTGAAGGAAATGTAAGTTCTTATAAATATTGTTAGACTAATTGAAGGAAATGTAAGTCCTTATAAATATTGTTAGACTAATTGAAGGAAATGTAAGTTCTTATAAATATTGTTAGACTAATTGAAGGAAATGTTAGTTCTTTTAAATATTGTTAGACTAATTGAAGGAAATGTAAGTTCTTATAAATATTGTTAGACTAATTGAAGGAAATGTAAGTTCTTATAAATATTGTTAGACTAATTGAAGGAGATGTTAGTTCTTTTAAATATTGATGTAAATGAATCTTGATGTAAATCATTTGAGCACTTTTTTCTAATAATAAACAAATAAAATATGCAGATCAAGTGAAATTCTTTTATAGACCAAAAGGTAGCATAATTTTAATGTGTGAAAACATAACAGGAACATTCTCCTAATTCACACATGCTTTCTGATTGTATGACTTCTACTGAACAAGAATTAATTTCATACATTAAGAACAAAACTAGTGAGTTTTAATAACTTATCAAGATCAATTGGGTTTTTGAAATTCTGTCATAATTATATTGACAATAAACATTCTAGATAACTTATTTTTATTTGTTGTCTGTACAGTTCACTTATCATCAGAACATTTAATTGACAATTATGGATAATATTAAAATTCATTCTATAGAACAATGTTTTCTTTATGACTTCACCCCCCACATGTTCAGTGTTGTGTAGACTTTCTTTATGACTTCACTCCCCACATGTTCAATGTTGTGTAGACTTTCTTTATGACTTCACCCCCCCACATGTTCAATGTTGTGTAGACTTTCTTTATGACTTCACCCCCCCACATGTTCAATGTTGTG